AATTTAAACGGAATTTGTATAATTATCATTATGCTGATATGTGTATGTTGGTAAATAATAATTAGATATATTATAGGTGATTATAGTATTTAAATACAGGGCTGGTTTTGATTTTAAAATTAGATTTTTTTAATTTACAAACATCTACATTTTAGTACTGATAATTAAATCACTGTAATATTTTTAACTTCCTGTAGGATAAGTTATAGTAATCGCAAAAAAATCAAAATAAAAATTTTATCCATATCTTCACGGTCTAGAGGTTTCTGAACATTTTGGCATACCTTAGAAAAAATCGATGTGTGTGTGTGTGCGCGCGTGTGTGTTTGTGTGCGGATACAAATTTTCGTCCACGATTCCGCGAACACGGATCAACCTATTTGAATAATTTGAAAAACATTCGATTCCTAATCATAAGGAGACTTGCTGATTAGCTTTTGACAAAGGCAGGTCTAACCATTTCGGAGATACGAAGCAAAGAGTGCAAAAAATGATAATTGATTGTTTGAGAGAACGGAGTCAAAAAACATTTTACTTGTATTGACAGGTTTAGCTGTTAAGGAGATCTAGTAAAAAAAGTAAAAATTAAGCTATTTGGCTGTCATAAATGAACATTAGATAAATGTACATCGTGTTATCAGTTATTTTATAAAGATTATAATAATACATGACAAATTTTGTGTACATTTACATGGGTTTCGTACCAATGTTTACACGCTATACGTCTACGCGGCGCTTACGCGCTTTGATATTTCGACTCCAAATAATCTATGCAGCGCGATTGCTTAAACAAAATGTTCAAGATTTTCACAAAAAAATCAAAATACGAAAAAAAATGAAATTAAACAAAAAATTAGATTTTACAAGAAAGTCAAATATTTTCAAAAATTTCAAAATTTCTCAAAAATTTAGTTTTGCAAAGTTTTTTTCAAAAATTTATTTTTCGGTACGGGAAATTCCAGCAATTTGCCTTAAGGCACGATGCCATACACCACTAGTTTGAATTTATAAATATCTTCACTCTTAGTACTAATAATTCAATCTCTCTAATATTTTTTTGTTTTCATTAAAGAAAGGGCCCGACCGATCTTTCTCAAATACTAATCAGCACTATTTCCAAATTTTCAAATATTTTTGAATTTCCAAAATCTATTCTGAATTTAATTACGGAAACGTGGACGAGAATTTTAGCATTTTTTTTTTGTTAAAGGGGAAGAAAGGGCTCGGCCGATCGTCGCATAAAACCCTTCAAAGACTATCTATCTACATCGAATTACTTTTAAATTTTTGAGAAAATCACACTTATACTTTTTCCAAATTTGGTTACATTCGATTCACAATAACTTGAAAAAATGTCTGCTAAAAACATAAAATTAGTAAATCGGATTTTGTGACGAAAAATTAATTCTCCTTAATCAATTTTTGGAAAGAAACATTGTTTAAGGGCATAAATGAAGGCTGTAGATTTTGAGGTGGTAAAAAAAATCCTTTAAATATCTGTTATGCAATTTTTATTTGAATTCCCATATCCAGAAAATAATAATTAAGGGCAGTATCAAAAAAAGAATACTCTTTTGTATCTAATAACGTGGAGTTTCTCCCTTTCTTACAATTGCCACATGCAGATATTTTTAATATTTGCATTAATATTAATTTAGAGGTTGGACAAACAAAATAAAATAATAATAAGCCTTTGTGTGCACAAAATTTATAAAAAAATATTCCGTGAAAATGTGGCATGCAGTTGTTCCATCTTATCATTAGATCCCATATGTTGACTTATCTAAATTATATATTTACAATCATCATATCTTTATTTGTACACTAATATTGAATAAACGCTTTTATTTATTACATTCATAAATATTTTTCGAAAAAAAGTTATATAATTTTAATTGAAATAGAAGGGATATATTGGGGAAATTTATAAAGGAATGGTAGGAAATATTATATCATTTATAATATATAGTAAGCTATCACATCTATTTATCTTTTACCTGGATTTTTTTTAAAAAACTCAAACATTTTCAATAAAAATAAAAAAATACAATTTTTTCTCCTAATTTTAAATATCACCAGGATTAATCAAGGGAGTCCAAAAATACTTAAAAATCGAACACGTGATTTCTAACTCGAAATCTTGATTGCAAGACTGAAGCTCTCACCACTATACCACGAACATTCTCTATAGAATTTAATTTATATTTCCTCATTCACCTATGACGTAATAATTGTATAAAAATTAAATTCGGCAACAATTATCTTCCGTAAACAAAACATTTCGATATTATCACGTGTTCGATGAGAACTGTATTTTTTAAATAATTTTTTATCGTCAAGCACTTTTAATTGTTGAATGTTTGTTTTTTTATATATATGTATTATTAATTGCGAAATCCTTTAATTTCTGTTTGCACACACAAAATGCAATGACAATAAAATTTAAATAAAAATTGTGTTAGTAATAGCAAGGTATGGGAATATTTTAAATGACGAGACAAAAAATTGAACCAAGCGAAAATTTTAGACAGGTCCGAATCGGGGATATATACATATAATACACATATATAAAGTTGTGTCATAATGTTTGTCCGCAATGTACTCCTAAACTGCTGAATCAATTTTAAATTTTATTTCCTCAATGGGTGCATTTACATCCAACTTAGGTTATAGGCAATATTAATAATATCAGTTCATATTCAGAGATATTAAAATTTTAGAAATTTCATTTAATTTTAACAGCTATTAATTTTAAGAAAACAAAACACTGTGAAATGACAGTTGCTATTGTTTCTGGAAACTTTGACATAAGTTGATTTATGATTTACATTTATTTGCTTACCTAAATCAGAAATTTACACGTCGAAATATTACATTAGTCATAAATCGGAAAAATACAGTTAAAAAAATTAAATGTTTTTGGCAATCAGTTATTATATTTGAAATATTATATTAAAATTATTTTGATATTCAGAAGTTTGAAAAAAAATGAAATCGATAATATTTTATGATTATTTCTATATCCATATCCAAGCAACAAAGTAATAATATTATTACGTATAATTTATAGTCGATATCATTATAATGCATATTTTCTATTATTTGCAATTCACTAATTTAATTCAAAAACAAAAGAATGAAAGTATCAAAAATCTGATATTTATAGAAAAATCTCAAAAAAGAAAACATATTTATTTAATGTAGTTTTTATTATTTTTTCAGTTAAAAAATCTTCTTATCGGATTGTAATAATGGATTTCATTCGGTTAAATTAGTCATGGATGATACAATATATAATATATTTTTATACTTGCTGTTTTATATATAGTATGATTCATTTAATCGCAAAATTTCGATTTCTCAATTCTAACATCCATTAAAAACATTTTTCAACTTGGTAATAAAGTTTCATGACTCATGATGAATCGTAACGAGTTCCGAAACGTAAACAAATACTATATAAAAACATTTTTTGAACTTCTCGTAGGGTAAGGGGAAAAAATAGAAAATGAAAGTTTTGCCATATTTTCAGATTTTTTAGGGATATGTGTGTATGTAGTATGTATGTATGTATGTTTGTATGTGCGGATACTAATCGACGATTCAAAAAACATTCGATTCCTATTGATAGAGAGATGTGCTGATTAGTTTTTTGGCAAAGGCGGGTCCAGCCGTTACGAAGATACGGAGCAAAAAGTGTAGAAAATAGAAATCGAGTTTCTGATAGAACAGAGCGTCCGATTTGAATGATTCTTTATATATTTTATTTGTATTGATGAAACGAGCATCTGACTAAATTTTTTGGGAAGGCAGGTCCAGCGGTTTCGAACAAAATGATAAAAGAATGTCATTTGGCGGTTAAAAATGATCATTAAACAAATGCACATCAAATTATTAGAAATATTTTATAGAGATTTTATGAGTACTAATTTTTGTTAATTTTCAACTTAAAGATTTTAGTGTGATTTGATTGTAAAAACAAAAAGTGAAAAAATAAAACTTCAATAAAAAAATCAGAATTTTCAAACAAATTTAAAAATTTAATTTTTGGAAACGTTTTTTCCCAGATTTTCAATTTTTTAAAAAGTATTTTAAAATCTTCAAAAAAATTCAAAATTTTGAAAGAAATCAAAATTAACGTAAAAGTCAATTTTTTAACTTTTCGAAGTAGAAGTTTATGTGTTCATCAAAAAATCCGATTCGCTAATTTTATGTTTTCTCGACGTTTCAAGCCATTCTGAATCGAATGAGGCCAACATTTGGAAAAAGTATGTGTGTGTGTGCGTATGTGAACAGATTTTTTGCCGTAAATCGACGTTTTCTCAAAACCGGCTGGACCAATTTCAAAAATTTAAAAGCCATTCTATGTATCTCAATGAGGACTACCATTTACGCGGCCAGGCGCGACGATCGGCCTGGCGGTTTGTTTGTAAATCGCAGAAAAGTGAAAAAATTTTCGTCCACATTTGAAGAACTTTTCGCAAAATTCGGTATTATTCGATTCTATCAAGAAAACTAACAATTAGGATTTTCAGTGCAAAAACATAAACTTTTCTTTCGGGAAATTAAAAATTAACACTAGCCCTATATCTACATACAAAATTTAATCTTAGTGCACAAATCAAAATCAAAAACTTTTCATCTCAACTTTTCCGCAAATCACGCCAAAGATTAAAACAATCTCCTACTCATATTTACACACAACAAACAAAGAACGAAAAAAAAGCCTTTTTCAATATTTACTTGTTGAATCTATCTTTAATATTTAACTCGTTATCGCGCTCCCCCGCCATCGACATCCCCACCCGGACGCCACTGATAAAAATCAAAGTTGTATGAAAAACGAAATTAGTACAATTCATGCAACACTCGCGAGATAAACGACTTTGATAATTAAATTAAATAATTAATAAGAAATTAATTATATAATTAATTTATTAGTTTTGTTACGTTGGTAGTTGTGTTAGTGTATCAGTTTATTCAGTTGGTATCTTTGCAACGTTTCCGGCCGATTAAAATTCAAACAAAATGTTCCGTAATAATGGATACAGATATCACGCCAACGGGTTTAATAATAATAACAATCCGGTAAGGTTTTAGAGTATACGGAGTGGTTGTAGGTACTTGTGGTGTATGGCAATATTATAGGTGGTTTAATTTTGGACGAATTTGTCGAATACAGTATTTAGTTTCAAGGAATATTTTGGAAGTTATGAGTGATTTTATAAATAAATGCACGATTGACAAATTAATTTGTGCGGGAGTTTTTGATACTGTTTTTAGAGTATACCGAGTTGCTGTAGGGTTTTATAATATTAGACAAAATTGTTTAGAATTTAATTTAGAACAAGTTTCTCAAATACACTATATATTTTCTATTAATACTTTACAAGATATATAATAAGATTTATAAGATATATAATAATATTATAAATGAATGCACTTTTTCGTTGGAGTTAAATGAATTTTATAAAATTTATTTTGCGGGAGTTTTTGATACTGATTTTAGAGTATACCGAGTTGCTTCAGGGTCTTATAATGTTAGACAATATTGTTTAGAATTTAGTTTTGTACAAATTTCTTAAATATACTATTTATTTCCTATGAATAGTTTATAAGATATAAATAATTTTTTAATTAAATGCACTTTTTGTTAAAGTTTAGTAAATTTTGTTTAATCATGTGGTAGTTTTTGATAACGTTTTTGGAGTATACCGAGTTGCTGTAGAATTTTATAATATTAGACAATATTGTTTAAAATTTAATTTTGAATAAATTTCTCAAACATACTATTTATTTCCTATGAATAGTTTACAAGATATAAATAATTTTATAATCAAATGCACTTTTACGTTGGAGTTAAATGAATTTCATAAAATTTGTGTTGCACATTTTGATTGCGTTTTTGGAGTATACCGAGTTGCTGTAGAGTTTTATAATGTTAGATGAAATCGTTCAGAATTTAATTTAGAACAAATTTTTCAAATACACTATTTATTTTTAAAAAATAGTTTAAAAGTTACAAAAGATATAAAATCATAAACCATAAATTTTAGTTTTACAATGTGTATGGCATTAAATTTATTTTGAATGACGTTTGAAGTGTTTTTAGAGCAACCGAGTTGCTGTAGGTACTTATAATGTTAGACGATATTATTAAGAATTCAATTTAGAACAATCTTCTCAAACACACTATTTTCTTTCCATTAATAGTTTACAAGATATAAATAATTTTTTAATTAAATGCACTTTTTGTTGAAGTTTAGTAAATTTTGTTAAATCATGTCGTAGTTTTGATAGTGTTTTTCGAGTATACCGAGTTGATGTAAGGTCTTATAATCTTAGATAAAATCGTTTAGAATTAATAAATAATTTTTTGATCAAATGCACTTCTTAAGTTTAGTAAATTTTGTTAAATCATATCCTGGTTTTTGAGAGCGTTTTTAGAGTATACCGAGTTGCTGTAGGACATTTCGATATTAGATAAACTTATTTAGAATTGCATTTTAAACAAGTTTTCTAAATATATGTTTTATTTTTAAGAAATAGGTTAAGAGTTACAAATGATACAATAAATAAATGATACAATAAACCAATGAATTTTAGCACCTAATGTCTACGTGCAACTAATGACTACGTGTGTAGCTTTAAATTTATTTTGAATGACTTTTAAAGAGTTTCTGTAGAGCCCTATAATATTAGGCAAAATCGTTCAGAATTTAATTTAGAACAGTTTTCTCAAATACACTGTATATTTTGCATTAATAGTTTAAAAGATATAAATTATGTTATAAATGAATGCACTTTTCGGTAAAGTTAAATGAAATTTGATAAATCATTTCGTAGTTTTGGAGTATACCGAGTTGCTGTAGGTACTTGTATTGTTATATAATATTATTCAGGATTTAATATAGAATACATTTCTCAAAAACGACATTTAATTTAAAAGTATAATATAGAAGTTATTAAAGATATACTAGATAAATGCACTAAATAAATTTTAGCTATACAACGTGTGTAGCATTAAATTGGTTTTAAATGAGTTTTGAAGGGTTTTTAGAGTACACAGAGTTGCTGTAGGTACTTATAATGTTAGACCAAATTGTTCAAAATTTAATTTAGAACAATTATCTCATATAAATACTATTTACTTTCCTTTAATAGTTTGCAAGACATAAATAATTTTATATACAATTGCACTTCTTGTTAACGTTAAAATTGTGATAAATCATATCGTAGTTTTTGATACCGTTTTTGGAATATACCGACTTGCTGTAGGGACATGTAATGTTAGACAAAAATGTTAATCATTTAATTTTGAACAAATTTCTCAAATACATTTTTCATTTATACAAAATAGTTCAAAAGTTACAAAAGATACTAGATAAATGCACCAAATAAGTTTTGACTATACTACATGTGTAGAATAAATTTATTTTGAATGACTTTTGAAGTGTTTTCCGCGTTGTTGTAGAGTTTTATAATATTAGACAATATTATTAAGAATTTAATTTAGAACAAGTTTCTCACGTAAACTATTTATTTCCTATAGATTATTTACAAGATATAAGTGATTTTATGAATAACTACTCTTAGTGATGATTAAATTGTATCAAAATCGATTTTTAGTTTTCGATAGCGTTTTTAAGTATATCGACTTGCTGTATGTACTTATAATGTTAGACAATATTGTTTAGAATTTAATTTTAAACAAGTTTTTCAAAAACATTATTTATTGCCAAGGAATAGTTTAGAAGGTACAAAAGATATACTAAATGCACCAAATGAACTTTGACTGAACTACGTGCGTAGCAATAAATTTATTTTGAATGACTTTTGAAGGGTTTTTAAAGTATACCGAGTGTCAGTAGGTACTTGTGATGTTAGACAATATTATATATTATTTAACTTAGAACAAATTTCTCAAATACACTATTTACTTTCAAGAAATAGTTTAAAAGTTATGAATGCTATAAGAATTGCTATAAGAAATGATGATAAGATTTAGTTTGAAGTTGGAAAATACCACATATTTGCTCGTGTTTTTAAAGTATACCGAGTGGCTGTAGAGCTCATAATATTAGACAATATTATAAAGAATTTGGAACAAATTTTTCAAATACACCACCTATTTTCAATAAATAGTTTAGAAGTTATTCAAATTATAATGCATAAATGCACCATCAAGGATTAAATTTTGTTTAAAATCAATTCTTAGTTTTTGCGCGAGATATTAGAGTATATCGAGTTGCTTTATAGCAATATAATATTAGACAATATTATATGTTATTTAATTTATGACAAATTTCTCATATACGTCATTCAGCTTGAAGGAATAGTTTAGAAGTTACTAAAGTATAATAACTAAATGCACCTATTGATGAACAAAATTTGTTAAATTTATGTAGTAGTTTTTTACAGCGTTTTAGAGTATACCGAGTTGCTGTACGTACTTTTAATGTTAGAGAATATTATTAAGAATTTAATTTAAAACATTTTTCTCGAATACACTATTTATTTTCCCAGAATACTTCAGAAGTTATAAACAATATAACAAAGAAATACGTTCTTGCTACATAAATTTCATCAGTAAACTTATCGCCTATTAATTTTGTTTAATTAATTTATGATTGTTTATAAATTGCGTGTATATATGTGATTGTGTATAAAATTGCTCAATCGAATGTTTTATTAATGTCGTCGGCACATTTCTTCACATGTCAATTAACTAATTAACTACTATAATTAAATTGGAGCAATGAGAAAAATCGTTCGAATGCATTTTAATTGCACATGCGACGAAAATTAAACATGACCTCGCTTTCGCAATTTATTATTGAATGAATAAAACATTTTAAAATTTATTTAGCAAAAGTACATTTATTTTATTATAAAATAAATAATATATTTGAGAAATTTGTGCAAAATTCAATTTCGAATAATATTGTTTAAAATTGGAAGTTTGAATTAATAACATTGATTTTTGCAAAATTAAATAATTATTAGTATGTCATTGAAATATTAGTTCAATTGATAAAACTTTTGTTGTTTGTCGAAGTAGATCTACATGATTTTAGTAATGAAACAAAAAAATGGAAATATATATGATAGTTTAGTTTTTGATGAGGTTTTTGAAGTATATCTCGTTCCTGTAGGGTCTTATATTTAACAATACTGTTTAAAATTTAATCTTGTTTATTTTACAACACCTCATTTATTTTTCATTAGAAGAATGTGTTTCATAAATAACTTAGTCCTAGTCCTAATAATATTTATAGATCTTAATTTATGGTCGAAAAATTACATTGAATATAAATTATATTTTTCTTTTTATATTATCTTATATATAAAAATGGATCGCAAAATGTGTTGGTAAGCGCAAAACTCAACAACGCCTTGACCAATTTGGCCAATTCTTTTTTTAAAATGTTCGTTGATGTCCAAGGATGGTTCTTACGGCGAGAAAAATTCGAATAATCGTCGGGAAAACCCTAAAAACAGCCCTTTTCTTTTTCTCATACAAACGTTTTCTAACTAAAACGTAGAATCAATTTGAGTTTTATTGCTATTGTATAAAGTTCATATTAAATTACAAGCACTCAATGAATACTCCTTCTAAACGATTATGCGGATTTTGATAAATCTTTCTGAAGTTTGTTAAGGAGATTTTCTAGGATGTATGTGATTATAAAGTACTGGGATTTATATGACTGAGATGTGCCAGAAATTAAAATAATATAAAATACAGTATATGTATGGCAGTTTGAATGATACATGAATGAACAGGACATGACAAATTAATTCACTTGAAATATAAAATTAAGTATTAATCAAAAAATTAATCGAAATTTAATATATAATTTCTTTGCATCTTTTACTAATCTTTCCACAATATTTTTAAAATTCGTAAAATTTTCACTTTATAACATTAAATGGGAGAGTAAAGATGAATACATACAATTCGGCCCTTACGATATCGATTGGGAAAAGTTTAAGATGCAATTTTGGATATCTTAAATAATAAAAAATTAAATTAATTTGATCCTACATGAAGTACCAGTGATATGTTATGGTTATGGTAATATTATACCGTTTAAAAGACTAATTTCCAATATATTGTGGGAATTGAGACTCATCATTTTATTTAAAGCAGCTCTACATTTAACATCGCTCATATTATAAATGTATATGCATTTTGGCGTGAAGAGTAATTTAAAAAAAAATATTATTTTTAGGTAAACGGTAAATATTAGTATATTATATTAAAAAATTTTAGACATGGGTACAGGACAACGTCTGTCGGGTCATCTAGTTTTACTATAAATTTATATAAATGATGGTGAATATAATTTCTTAATATAATTATCTCTATTAATTATTATTAGTCGTTATTAATATAATAAAAAAAATTAAATAGTTTAGTAATAGAAAATATTATTCTTGTTTCTGTGTATTATTATACATATAAAATATTAAATATGTTTCTGCATATTTTATCAATTACACAACATAAATCATATGATTATTCTGACATTGAAATCTAAATTGCGGTAGTGACTGTTTAATAATGAATTAAAAAAAACACCTATCAGTCATTATTTATTTATATTATATGTTATGCCGAGATGAATTTTAATCAACTTCTTTAATCGACTAATTTGAAATTGTGCAATCAGCTGTGTAATCGAAGAATTATAGATAATATATATATATATATATATATATATATATATATATATATATATATATGAGTTAAAAAGTCGGGCGTAACATCAATAAAAATAGTATGAGAGTTTTTTAAAAATTTATTTATTTAAAATCCATACGTTTCGGCTAGCATCTTAGCCTTCATTCAGTGGCAATCAATTTAACTATAAAAATGAAAACTAAATAAATAATATGTAAGAAATTTCATATAAAAACAATAATTATAATAAAAAACACTTACAATTTTGTATCCTAATATAACATATGAAAACATTGTTGATTCATTGTATGAGTATGTACACATTGATAAAATATATATTTTTTAACATCACAAGAGGTTAAAACACACAAATAAACATGATAATTTAATAAGTTGTCGAAACTATTTATTTACTGTTCCGAGTTTAAGATAGAAATGTCACATTTTTTAGCATGTGTTCAAATTTTACCAGAAATTTAAAAATCGATGGGATCTTGTCATTTTTTAAGAAATTTTGACACGATATTTAGGAACCACGTGTTTGTTTCGTTCAGGGCCGTATTGTCGAAACGTTTGTTTATGAACCTATCGTTATGCAATTGCAAAAACAACCCCTAAACGAATCATCTTTTAATTACGTTGAAAATGTAAAATTTTTGGGTTGAAAAAATCTATATTATGGTTTAAATTTTTAATATGCTCAGTTAACATCGTCTTAAATTGGTTCGGATTTTTTGAGTTATTTTTATGTTGATGAAGACGTTTACTCAGGTTTTGGCTAGTTTCTCCGATACAAAAAGTTCGCAATTAGAGCAATTAATCTGATATACCAAGTTCCTGAGGCGGTCAGAATTAAACTTAGATTTAATTTATATATATATATATATATATATATATATATATATATAAATTAAATCTAAGTATAATATATATATATATATATATATATATATATATATTGAAATATGTGAGTTTGGTGTTGATATATATTTTGATGAGTTATTTAGAATCGGGCAGTAACACCAAGTAAAGAAAAAAAACTAAAGTAGTTTTTAAATACTTTATTTATCCATACGTTTCGGTCTTCATCGAGACCGTCATTCAGTGGAAAACTAAAAGATTTTATATGATGTAGGGGCAATAATATAAAGTTATAACTTATATATAAGTACTTACAGAATTAATTATACAAAAATACACTACACTATTACACTGTGATAACCAGGCTATTAATAATTGGAACATTTAAACTAATCAATTTTTTAGACAATTTTTGCTTACATTCTAGTGTGTACAAATTGACTAACGTCTAAAAACTGAATGAATTGTGTTTACAATTTTTTTGAGAAAGTGTAAAAAAGACCGGCAGACATATGTTTTTTGTAAAATAATAAAATAATAAAAATACACGCTTCATTCAGATGTGGTGGTGTTTTTGAAAATAGTCGAGAGTTATTTTATAGTCATTGCAAAGCGAATTGTTGTCAGTTCTTAAATTTATGGCTGTATCCTTGTGTAAAGATATTAAGCAACCTTCGCTAAATCGTCTTTTAAATAAATTATTTTCGAAATGTAGGATCGTGGGATTGGAAAAATCAATGCTATGTTTGAGTTCGTTGATATGATCTGTTAATTGTGTTTTATACTGATTTTTATTTTTTGAATTGTTTTTGTGTTGAGATGTTCTTTTGTGCAGGTTCTGACTAGTTTCACCTATGTAAACGCCTATATATATATATATATATATATATATATATATATATATATAGATAGATAGATAGATATAGATATATGTATATATGTAACATCGAGAATTTGTTATTTATATTATATTACACTTACTTTGTTATTTGTATTTATATCATATTTAATTTAATTATTATTAAATTTAATTTAATGTTCTCTAATGGAAACTTGAATTTTCAGCTTAATTTTCACACAAACTTAAGTAAAAAAATTAACACACATTGCTTCAGTAATTTAGCTTACCAAATTAAATGCGCGGATTGTAAACTACCAAACGGTTAAAATTTAAATAAACACTTCGTCAATACAAAATTAATTTTAAAACAAAGTAAAAAATTTTAAAACCCATTTAACCAAACATATTATTAATTTAAATCACAGTGTGAATTTTTTTGTACCTTAAGGCAAATTGCTGGAACTTCCCGTACCGTAATGAAATATTCGAGAAATTTTAAACGTTTTCAAATATATTATTACAAATACTGTAACTTTCATTATTTTCGCTATCTTGTTATATCTGAGCAAATCAAACGTAAATCATAAATCAATTTATCACCAGAACATTAACATTAGTCATTTCATTTTTTAATCCAAAATTACAAAAATATTTTTTGAAAAAAAAAAATTAGAAACAATTTTTTCCCAAAAGCAATTATTTTGTTGAAACAAGCAGAAAGTTCTTTGAATCATTTAAATCGGACGCTTAGTTCTCTCAAAAACTACTATTTTTTTACCATCTAGCTCTGTGTCTCCGAAACCGCTGGGCCTACCTTTGCCAAAAACTAATAACCACTTTCACATTGGTGAAATTGGACAAAATTTAAATAAACGCTTTCATCAAAACAAAATTAATTTTAAAACAAAGTAAAAAATTTAAAACCATGATTACCGAACATATTATTAATTTAAATTACAATGCGAATTTTTTTATCAAAAAAATTGAATTTAATGTTTTATTTTCTTTTCCAGTGTCTACAAGTGGCGACAAATGTGACTGAACAGAAGCACCACGTCTCTAGGGCGAGCAGAGCCTCAGCTCTGGGGGCCCTCCGGGGCTTCCGAGGGTGCTGCGTTTGGCTCACCGGACTCTCCGGAGCCGGAAAAACATCTATAGCTTTTCAACTGGAAGCTTACTTGGTCGGAAGAGGTAAATAGAATAAATCAATATGATAAATAATAATCTTAGATAAAAGAAGTATAAATAGATATAATAGATACTGCAATTATAATTTCTTACCCACTACATAGTGGTGCTACTAACCGTAGCAAGTAAATTTACCAGAAGGTTCATTTAAGAATGTTCAGATAAGATTGATATAAATATATAATATAGACAAGATAAACCTGATTAATTTGACTAAATGAAATGTTAACAAAATATACACGTGTAAAATATATTTTTCACTAAATTACAAACATGTTTTTACAAAAATATATGATAAAAATACATTAAAGGTTTAAACTACGTACATTATATTAAGAGAAACAGTTCTAAGAAAAGAGTAATGAATTTAGACACAGTACAGTAATACCCTCTGTTGAGTGCGGAAGAAACTAAAACAATGTAAAGCTCTTTAGTTCTAAGTTCATCCCCCACGACAATATTTCATTATAATTAATCTGTTTATAATTAATAATTAATATAAATAATAATGTTTTTTACATGATTTTTTATTATTTTTTAGGAATTCCTGCCTATGGCTTAGATGGAGACAACGTCAGAACTGGTTTGAATAAAAATTTAGGATTTTCAAAAGAAGACCGAGAAGAAAATATACGAAGAGTTGCTGAAGTTGCCAAATTATTTGCTGATAGTGGAGTTGTTTGCATTTGCAGTTTTGTTTCACCATTTGCAGAGGTATAATTATATATATATATATATATATATATATATATATATGTATATATATATCTACATGTATATAAAAATAAGTCGGGTTTTCCTTCCTGACGATATAACTTCAGAACGCACGAACCGATTTCGACAATTTTGCAAATTAGTGGTGCATGGCATCGTGCCCTAATGCAAGCTACTAGAACTTTACGCACCGTAATTAGAAATTCGAGTAATGACATTTGTGAAAATTATCAGAATTATGCTTGCAATTAAGTCAACGAGCAATTCTTGCTGCAAAGAATATTGATGTACACGCACTGAATTTCAGCATTCAATCAAAAATTGCTGGCGATTTGGTGACATACCAATGATTTCGACTGGTCTCCCGTTTGACTTGAAACGATTGCAATTTCCAGTTCGCCTTGCGTTCGCAATAACAAGTCGCAAGGCCAATCGCTTAGTGTTTGCGGGATAAATTTCAAATAGATTTTTAGAAAATCATTGTTTTTCACATGGGGGCAGTTATACGTTGCCCTTTACACGAGTTGGAAAACCATCCGCTTTGCTGGTGTTAACATCAGACCAAAAAACAAAAAATGTGGTTTACCAAAGAGCACTTCAATGAAACGGATAATTTGCGGATTCACTTTCATTTACTTAGAGAAGTTCAACTAAAAATCACTTCATTTTTATAATCGAAATAAATTCATTACTGTTGTGTAATAAAATCAAATTTTTCCTTTTCAAATATAAAACAAACAAAAAATTTCTTCATCTTTCTCACGAAACCATCTGGTGGCGAAACGCAGTTCGTCGGGTTTGCTAGTATATATATATATATATATATATATATATATATATATATAATTATATATATAATTATATTTTATCCAGGATCGTGAATTGGCCAGAAAAATCCACAAAGACAGTGATCTGCCTTTCTTTGAGGTTTACGTAAATACACCATTAGAAGTTTGTGAAACCAGAGATGTCAAAGGACTTTATAAAAAGGCCAGACAAGGAGTTATTAAGGTATTATATATATATATATATATATATATATATATATATATATATATATATATGTATAAGCCACAATATCAATATTTTTGTTTGAAACAAAATTATGATCAAACAAATGTCTTAATACTTTTTTAAAATAAAAGTTTGATGAAATTAAAATGTGTAAATTAATTACTGAATCATTTTAAACAAATGACATACTTTAATCTATTTATAGTACATTCACTAAAACCTCCCGAATCATTATTTATGTACTATTGAAGACAGATATAAAAATTCAAAACACTAATATTATTAATGGATAATAATTACATTAATGAATTAATGTAATGAATATTCAACTATATACACCTAAGTCTGTTTTTACACGGTAGATTGGTTTCAGAAGAAGCCGTGTAGAAAAAAAAAACGTGTAAAAAAAGACATTGATTTTATACAAAAATGGGTGATTTGTTCCTAATCTCTAAAACCTATTAAAATTAGTGAAAAACAAGAATTTTTAGGGTATTCCCCTAAATTAGTGCTATTCACATTTGCTTTGACAAGTAAAAATTGTTTGTACGCGCTAAAGGGGAATTCACTTGAATCTTTAAGCTAGTGTTCGCAAACTATCGATACTATCGATGGTTTCAGACTTTTTTTCTTTCATAAATACTTTTTTGTGATATGAACATACTTTGCAAAAATTAAATTTGACAAAAAAAAATTATGTACATAAAATTTCAAATCGTGCTAAATGGAATAAAACCGTGTAAAAAAATTAAAAATACTCAATTTTCAAACCGTGTTATATCAAAACCGTGTACAAAAAGACCGTGTAAAAACAGACTTAGGTGTACTATAATTATATTTCTTTTATCCCAGGGCTTCACCGGTCTATCACAACCTTACGAACCTCCAGAGAACCCTGATTTAATCGTTGGCACAGTCGACAGCACCTTACAAGAATCCACACAACTTCTCATCGACTTTTTGGAAAACAAAGTAATTGCACAACTACCATCAACCAACCTAAAACAACATCCTTATTACATAAACACTATCATTTTCTTTACCAGAATATAATCCCAAGCAATAACCTAAGCAATGGAGTGCTAGAACTATTCGTACGACCTGATCTTTTGCAAACCGTCCAGCAAGAAGCTCAGGCTTTGCAGTCAGTAGAAATCACTACTTTAGACTTACAATGGGTCCAGGTTTTGAGCGAAGGCTGGGCAAGTCCTTTGAAAGGATTTATGAGGGAAAAGGAATTTCTACAAGTAAGGATAAAGGATAATTTTATACATAATATAGGTTAAGCCATAGTTTTTTGCTTTTGAAAGATATGAAAAGAAAATTACAGAACATTTCCTCATTTTTTTATTAACTTCCCGTAGGGTAGTTATAGTAATGGGCCGAAAATCGAAAATGAAAATTTTTGCATTTCTCAAGACGTTTTGAAGTTTTCTGAACATTTTTAAAGGGCATACCTCAGAAACTAAATGGATGTGTGGGTGTCCCTGTGTGTGTGTTTGTTTTGTATGTCGCATTTTTTCGTCCACGGATCAACCGATTTAAATGATTTAAAAAACATTCGATCCCTATTAATAGGGAGATGTGCTGATTAGTTTTTGGCAAAGGTAGGTCCAGCCGTTACGGAGATATGGAGCAAAGAGTGCAGAAAATAGAATTCGAGTTTTTGAGAGAACGGATCATCCGATTTGTATGATTCAAAAAACATTCAGTTCGTAATGGCGGGGAAAAGTGGTTATTAGTTTTTGGCAAAGGTGTAGGCCCAGCGGTTTCGGAGATACAGAGCTAAATGTTAAAAAAATGGCAGTTTTTGAGAGAACTAAGCGTCCGATTTAAATGATTCAAAGAACTTTCTGCTTGTTTCAACAAAATAATTGCTTTTGGGAAAAAATTGTTTCTAATTTTTTTTTTTCAAAAAATATTTTTGTAATTTTGGATTAAAAAATGAAATGACTAATGTTAATGTTCTGGTGATAAATTGATTTATGATTTACGTTTGATTTGCTCAGATATAACAAGATAGCGAAAATAATGAAAGTTACAGTATTTGTAATAATATATTTGAAAACGTTTAAAATTTCTCGAATATTTCATTATGGTACGGGAAGTTCCAGCAATTTGCCTTAAGGCACGATGCCATACACCACTAGTTTGAAATTACAATGCTTTTGGTTAATAATGGTTAAAAATTTTATTTAAATCGCTGCCTTAGCAGTAGCCTGCACCATTGTAAAGTTTAAAAAAACGTTAGATTGCGGACGCTTTTTTTTTATGATTTCAACCAATTATTATAATTTTTGTATCTTTTACCAGAGTCTGCACTTCAATTGCATGTGGGAAGACTTTGTCGTAAATCAGAGTCTGGTCATAGTTTTACCAGTGTCGACACAAGACAAAGAACGGTTGCAGGATGTTAGTGCATTTACTTTGAGGTTAGGAAAATCATTGAATTGAAAATTAAGTAAACTTTTTGTAGAAATTCAAGAATTTAATTTATCTATCTAGATATCAAGGAGTTCCAGTAGCAGTCATCCGTAAACCTGAATTTTACTATCACAGAAAAGAAGAAAGATGCTGTCGACAGTTTGGAACAAACGACACCGGACATCCTTATGTTAAGGTAAATTTAATACTACTAATATATATCTATATATGTATATATAAATCTCGTGTCACGATGTTGGTTCGCGATGGACGCCCAAACTACTGAACCGATTTTAAATTTTATTGGCTCATCGTGTGCATATTTGTCCAACTTAGGTTATAGGAAATTTTGAAAAGTAAATTTAAAATATAAATATATAATTTTTATAAATTTCTAAAAATTTTGACAGAAAATGAACAAAAAAAAACAAAACACTATGTCAAAATTTATGGAAAATTCGAGGAAAAACAGATTTATGATTTTTGAAAAAAAAAATTTGACAGTTCAAAAAATATAATTCAAAAACATATATATGTATATAAATGTATATCCAACATTTATATCCAAATTAGATGAAATGCTATATTCAAAATCACAATTTATAGTTTTAAATCTAATTCAAAATCAATGTTTATAAATCTAAATAAATGTTGACATGAAAAACGTCAAATGTCATTTGTCAAAATTTATGAAAATAATTATATAAATGGATTTACAATTTATATTTATTTGATTAGCTTACCAAATTATTTCGGAAAGCAAAACTTCATCAAAACATTATAAATCAGAGATCACAATAAAAAAGCGACATATTGAATTTAAAATTAATCATAAACAAAAATTTGACATTTCACAAAAAAAATGTTTAACGACTTCAGTAGGAAACAAATAAATTAATTATTCCAAGTTATGTTATAGGCAATATTGCCAAACAAATTATAGATTCAAAACATTATTGTAAAATAAATACTATCATTTTCGACCAAAAAGGAAATATTTTGACATTTATAAATTTAATGCTTATTGGATATATGAAATTGACATTCAATATTTAAATTAAATGCAAAAGTAAAAAATCTGATATTTATATAAATATTTAGATAATGATACTGCGTTGATTTAGACTAATCCATGATGCGAGTGAATTAATTTTGGAAGTATGAAATGTCAAATAATTTTGAAAATTATAACAAGTTTTTAACTATTTGTCAGAAAGAATATATTTTATTACAAATTCATATCCATATCAAGCACCAAAGTAATAAATAATACTTATTAAATGACATATTATTAATGAATATTTTAATTATATTTTTTGACATTTGCTAATTCAAAATAAATTAAAAATAATTGAAAACAATGCCATAAATCGGATATTTATGGAAAAATATCAAATAAATATATTTATGTTTCACTTGATTTCAAATAAAGAAAAAACTAATTGCTATGCCAAAATAGATAGTATATTCATCTACAATTATAGTCTAAATATTACAATTTTGATAAATAATCATCCATTATTTTACAGTACGATAATTGATAAAAAATTAATAAAAGTGCCAAAAATCAAACATTTTATAGATTTGGACTCGGATTTGTCAGAACTTTATCCATGTTAGTTTCAGGGATAGTATGAATATGAATTTATAGTCGAAAATTTATATGATAAGTGATTAAAACATTATTATAGATAACAATAAAAAAGCGACATATTGAATTTAACATTAATCATAAACAAAATTTTGACAGTTCAAAAGAAATGAATTTTTAACGACTTCAATAAGAAACAAATAAACTAATTATTCCAAGTTATGTTATAGGCAATATATTATAGGACATATTGAATTTAACATTAATCATTAACGAAATTCTGACAGTTCCAAGTTATGTTATAGGCAATATTGGAAATCAAATTATAGATATAAATTATATCATATTATATTAAATTTCGACCAAAAAGGAAATATTTTGGCATTTAAAAATTTAGTGCATATTGGATATATGAAATTGACATTCAATATTTTTAAATTAAATGCAACAGTAAAAAATGTGATATTTATATAAAATATTATATATTTAGATAATGGTACTGCGTTGATTCAGACTAAAATCTAATTTATTCATTGATTAAAAAAAATGTAAATAAAATTAAAATAAACAAAACACTATGATGCGTTGGAATTAATTATCGAAATGTAAAGAAATTTGTGTAATAATAATATAACATTATTATTAATATCATAATATTATATCATGTATTTTATAAGAACTTCTGCAAAGCGGCAAAATATTTTTGATGGCAAAACAGCGTTTGCCGGCCCTGTATATATATATATATATATATATATATATATATATATATATATATATATATATATCAATATTATATTAATCTAATAGTTTATTATTTTTTTAGATGATTCACGAATCCGGTGACTGGTTAGTAGGTGGTGATTTAGAAGTATTGAACAGGATAAGGTGGAACGATGGACTTGACCAGTACAGGTTGACTCCTAGGGAACTCAGGGATAAATTCAGGGAAATGGATGCTGATGCTGTTTTTGCATTCCAGGTAATAATAGAAACGACTTATGCCTATAAAGCAAAAGTGTGATTGTTTTGCATTTATTAATCGCTTTGTATCTATTTCCTTTGTGTAGTTGAGAAATCCAATTCACAACGGTCATGCTTTACTGATGACCGATACACATAGACAACTAACCGAAAGGGGATTCAAAAAGCCTGTATTGCTGCTGCATCCTTTAGGTGATGATTTATTATATTTACTAAAATTTTATAAAAAAAATTATATACACTCTAATACTAGCATTTTAAATAATACTGTTTGCCAATTGACATATGGAATCCAGGACATTTTTGTATACTTATTCGAATATCTTGAAAATTTCATTTTGGGCACTGAATTTTTTTGAGCTTGGTAGATAATAGATTAAATTTACCAAAATGTCATTAGAATTTATATATATACTTTGATTCTAAAATTTTGAATAATAACTGCTTAATAGACAATGTATGGAATTCAGGAATTTTTTTTGTATTTATTCAAATAACTTGAAAAAATTATCTTAGTAGATATAAGATTAAATGATAAATGTATATATATATATATATATATATATATATATAATTGCAATATCCATTTATACTTCACAAAGTGTGTAATAAATATCCTTAATGGAGTTTACATAATTTATGTTTAAAATTTATGCATAAATAATATAATTTGGCTAATTTGTTATCTAATTTTTTTTTCACCAGGTGGTTGGACTAAAGATGACGATGTACCATTAGCTGTACGAATTGAACAACACAAAAAAGTCTTGGAAGCTGGTGCTTTGGATGCATCAAGAACAGTCATGGCCATTTTTCCAAGTCCTATGATGTATGCTGGACCTACAGAGGTAGTAATAGTAATAATATACTATTAAGTAGTAGTAGTATTAAGTAAATAATAGTATTAGTACTATACATGGAAGAATGGTTAATCTTTTGATTGTCTTCTGTAAAACAATTAGGTTAGCTTAGGGTAAGTTAGGTTAGGTTCTCTAGCAAACAGCTCATAAGACAATTATCTATTGTTACTAATTATATTTTCTACTAATAATAATAGCAGTAGTACTATCAAAATAATAGTATAAGTACCATATATGAAAGAATGGTTAATCCTTTGATTGCCACCCATAAAACAATTAGGTTAGGTTAGGTTTTCTAGCAAAAAGCTCATAAGACAATTATCTATTTTTCCAGGTTCAGTGGCACGCAAAAGCTCGTATGAATGCAGGAGCATCCTTCTACATCGTTGGCAGAGACCCTGCAGGCATGGCTCACCCGAAAGGTTCAGACCTCAGCAAAGGAGGTACCCCCGATGGAAATTTGTATGAAGGAACACACGGTTCGAGGGTTTTGAGCATGGCTCCTGGCTTGGACGGATTAGAAGTAAATAGAGAAAAATACTTTAATATAATAAATGAAAATATTTATAACTAGATGACCCGACAGACGTTGTCCTGTACCCATGCCTACAATTTTTAAATATAATATACTAATATTTACCGTCTACCTAAAAATAATAATAATACTTTTTTAAATTACTCTTGACGCCAAAATGCGTATACATTTATAGTATGAGCGATGTTAAATGTAGAACTGCTTTAAATAAAATGATCTGTCTCAGTTCCCACACTACATTGGAAATTGAAGTCTTTTAAACGGTATAACATAATCATAACCATAACATTACACTGATACTTCATGCTGAATTAAATTAATTTAATTTTTTATTATTTAAGATATTCAAAATTGCATCTTAAACTTCTCCTAATCGATATCGTGAGGGCTTTACTTTCCCATTTATTGTTATAAAGTGAATTTTTTACGAATTTTAAAAATATTGTGGAAACATTAGTTAAAGATAAAAAGAAATTATTTAGAAATTTAGAAATTTAATATCCAAATCTTGTGTTGGCGCCCCTAAGGCGTGCGCTCGTATTTTTCGCATGCGTCGAATTAAAGGAAGAACCGGCCCTGATTAATACTTAATTTCATATTTTGAATGAATTAATTTATCATATTCTATTCATATGTGTGTCATTCAGTCTGCCATACATATTGTGTATTTTATATTATTTTAATTTCTGGCACATCTCAGCAGCTTTTTGGCAATAATAATGTAGACATTTTCAATTTACAATTTCATTTTTCTTATTCATAATCATAAATTTATTATACATATTTTAATATTGTCTAGGTTCATAAGTAAATTGAAAGTTTTGGCAGATGATAGTTTTCATTTGTTTTCAATGCAAACAATTACATGTCGTTTTTTGCAGTTTTTTTCATTTATTTCTACAATATTACACAAACATCCCAGTACTTTATAATCACATACATCCTAAAAAATTTCTTTAACAACCTTCAGAAAAGATTTGTCAAAATCCGAATAATCGTTCAGAAGGAGTATACAGTGAGTGCTTGTAATTTAATATGGACTTAATATAATAGCAATAAAGCTCAAATCGATTCTACGTTTTAGTTAGAAAACGTTTGTATGAGAAAAAGAAAAGAGCTGTTTTTAAAGTTTTCCAGGCAATTATTCGATTTTTTCTCGCCGTAACAACCGTCCTTGGACATCAACGAACATTTTAAAAAAAGAATTGGCCAAATTGGTCCAGGCGTTGTTGAGTTATGCGCTTACCAACATATTTTGCGATCCATTTTTATATGTAAGATGATTTGTTTTTTTTTTTCAGATTTTACCATTCCGTGTAGCTGCTTACGACAAATCGGTCAGCAAAATGAGTTTCTTCGATCCGTCCAGGAAAGGAGACTTTGATTTTATTTCAGGGACCAGAATGAGAGGTTAGTAAAGGATGAAGAGTTTTATTTTAGGACAGGTATTGATTGGTACTGATTTTTTTTTTTATAATTTTAGGTTTGGCAAAGAGTGGACAGACTCCTCCTGATGGTTTTATGGTGCCGAGTGCCTGGGACGTCTTAGCACAGTACTACAAAAGCCTCAGTTCATAAATAGGTGACAAATATATATATATATATATATATATATATATATATATAATTAGATTTTTTACAAATAGATAAGTCAAATTTTAACGATCCAGATTTTATATAAATTTTATTGTATAGATTTTAAGGCTTGATAAATCGAGTTCCATACAATATTATACTGAATACTGTCAAAATGTCATGTATTTGCTGTGCATTCAGGCGTTTTACACATAAACTGCAACGTCACTCGTATGTTATGAACGTGAGTCAGAAAGACCCTGTTATCTTACAACGTTTTTTTGATATTTGTACGGTTTTTAGGTTAGGTTTTCTGAGTAAAGCGCCTGACTCCACAGCAACCATATGACTTGTCAATATTTAGTATGGAAAGTTTTTCATAACATGGCCTTGCCATAACATTTGTCCATCAATTTTATTTAATAATATTATTTGTATCATTGATAATAATTATGATTATAATGATCTTCGACTTAGTTTGAAACGGTTTATTGAAATTTATAATCTTTGAGGTTATATAAATTTTGTGGCCAGTTTTCTGATAAATTATTTAATGAATGCTATGCTAAGGGTCTATATTCATATGAGTTGGTAGTAACGAATTGTCATAAAGCTATTTATTTGCTGTTTGATCAGGCGTTTTACACATCAAACCTAACCTCCAAAAGGTATAAATATCAAATACAAATTTTATCATAAATGCATCTTTCTGATGTAACATTGATAACACATACGTGAAGTTAGGTTTTATGTGTAAAACGCCTTTTTCGCAGTTCATACGAAGATAGACCCGTAACATAACATTTTTATTTTATCGGAGAATTGAACTCTTTTATAACAAATTTTAGGAAAGATTTCGTATTTAATATATTGAAACGTATGATAAAATCGATTTTAGATTTTTAAAAATTATATCACATATATACAAGTCAATTACCTCGTATAAATTACTTCGGAGATAAAATCTTCTTTGGCTCGAGTATTATTTAATAAAAAATTTAACCCTGTATGTATAATTGTTCTAATACATACATGTATACATATTATATATTGAAATGCTAATTTGCAGCTAATTGTCGAATTAAAAGACGATAAATAATGAACTATTTATTTACACGTTTTGACACGGTATGTGTGTCATCATTCAGCAATTTTTTTAAATATTTAATAACAGTATCTAAAAGAATGTTTACAAAGATTAAAAAGATGAAGTTTATAATATATTATAGATTAAAATAAATTAAATTTTCTGTTTTAAAGTTAAAACAAAGAGTTAAGTAGTTTATTTTTGTTTTAACTTTAAACTTTGTAAAAAATCTTTCAGATACTTTTACTAATTATTTTAAAAAAAATTGCTGAATAATGTATGACACACATACCGTGTCGAAACGGATAAATAAATAGTTAATTATTTGATTGTCTTTTAATTCGACGATTGGCTGCAAATTAACATTTTAAGAATATGTCTCAACGCCGAACAAAAAAATCTGAATCTTATATATATACATATATATATATATATATATATATATATAAATTATACAGGTCTAGCTCTTCGATGTAAGCAATATATATATATATATATAGACTATAGGGCCAATTCTGCGATAACATAGCGTTGTTATGGCAACGTTAGTGAAAGAGTAAAAATGTCTATCTATTTGCCGTGCGACCAGGCGTATTTTACATACATACAAGCACAAAAGAATGTTATGATAACAGCATCATCGAATATTCTGATATTGTTTTTTTCAGTGGTTGTTTTGATTGAATTTTGAAGGACCAATTATAAAAATTTTAATTTGTAACTAGTAATATTTATTTTATGTTGATTACAAGTTATATTCGTATTTATAATAATTTCAATGTTGGTTTTGATAACGTATTGATTGACTTGATTTTTTATAATGATTTTTGATTGATGATTTTTTGTTTATATATCAATATAACAGCACACTTTGATATGGCGCGAACATTTATCATAACATTCTTCCTTGCTCGTTTATATGTAAAATACGCCTGATCGCACGGCAAATAGATAGACATTTTCATTTATAGTTAGCACTTAGCGTTGCTATTATAACGTTATGTTATCGTCTATTTTTTATTATCAAGCATATCATTAAACAAAAATTTAATTAATCTTTTCGCCCATGTAAATATAGATTTCTTAAACAAACGTTTGATTTTTAAACAAAAAATTGTTTTTAAACTGTTTCCTGTGCAAATATAGATTTCTTGAAGAAACATTAAACAAGCCGTTTTTATCTTGCAATAATATTTCATATTGAGAATTTGTTTAGAAAATGATTAACACCAGTCCGGTATTTTTAATCATAGTTCTAAAAACAATCGTGCAATAATAATTTATTTAATGGAAATTTGTTTTGAAAGAGATTAACACCAGTACGGAATTTTTAATTATGGCTTGAATTTTTATTTATGTTTATAAAAATTATATCGGTTTTATAACAATTGCTCGGATGACTCATTTTAGCGTGTTGAAATTTATTTTGCAAGAGCGAGGTCTATATATATATATATAAATATATATATATATATATATATATATATATATATAATATTTTTGCAGCCCGAATTAAAAAAAGATTAAATAACAAAATTATTTATTCCATTAAACGTTTCGACACTTGAAGTGTGTCATCATTCAGTAATCTAAAAACATATTACATAAATACAAAGTTGATAATAAATATAAATATATAAAAAGGATAAAACCTTGATCAGTGTCCATAATGCACCGCTATTAATAACATAAAATATAGGAGGGCAATATGTGCTCCTTCAATTTCTCGTTTGTTAATATAATAGTATATTATTAAAATTAGTTTTGAAAATGAATATTTAAATTTTTAAATATTAATCTTTTACCAATGGACATGATGCCTCCTAAGCAAAAAATATGATTTTACTGACTGATTGCCGAATGATGACACGCATCTAGTGTCGAAACGTATTTTAACATAATATTTGATTGATTTGCAGCCAAAATTTATTTGAAATTGTACAGTTTTGAGAACAAAATGTAAGTTGTTTAGTCATTCAGTTAAAAATTTATATACAAAAGTGTAAAAAAATATTTTAACAAACAATTATAATGAAAAATAATACTAAAAATTTATATAGAAAAAATTATAAAAACAAATTATATTGAAAAACTTTAGACAGTTGTATTGAAAAAATACTACACAAATTAAATTGAAAAAATACTAAATAATTAATTTATTTGGGAAAAAACTTTACATGAAAATCATATTATTGATGTTTGTTTTTTTTTAATTATTGATTTTCTTTTCAAAAACGATTTAAATAGAAAAAACTTAACATGAAAATCATATTATTGATGTTTGATTTTTTTTAAATATTGATTTTTCATTCAAATATTAATTATTTTTAATAATTATATTAATGCTTTTTTTTAAATATTTTTTTTAATATTTGAGCATTCAAAACTTGACTAAAAATAATATTTTTGTACTTAAATTTTGAACTCAATGATGACACACATATAGTTCTCGAAACGTACAATTAATAAATATTATTTTCGGCTTGTAAATTATCAAATATAAATATATATATATATATATATATATATATGTATGTATATATATAAAGATGCATGTATATAGTTAAATATTTTACATATATTCTAAGAAAATTATTTATAATAAATTTTAAAGTATTATATTAAACAAAGATCAACAATTGAAAATATTAAAAAAAAATTATACAAAATCCGTGCGGTGATATAAAATATATTTTTGAATAAAAAATTAAGAGTTTTAAATAAAATACATAAATTTAAAAAAATTAAGTTTTGCATAAAACTGTAAAACATGATATTTTGAGTTAAAAATTCACTATAGCGTTTTTTAGGATAAATTTTTGATATTTTTTTAAGGATATAAATCGAGTAATAATGGTTTTAGGGTTTTTTGACCTTAGACAATGTTAAAGATAATTTAATTTTGTACAAATTTTCCAAATACATCATTCATATCAATCGAATGGTTTAAAAGTTATAAACGATTTTATAAAGAAATGCACTCGACGTTGGGGGAAACACTAGTGGTAGAAATAAACTACAAAGTTCAATATCGAAAAGTTAAAAATACTGTTGAGTTCTACTGGTGAAATTCTACTTGAGTTTTGTAAAAAAAATTCTTAAAATGACGTTTTGATATTTTTTTCTTCAAAAGTGTTGTACTTTCAAAAAACAAAAATAATATGAATCAAAAAAAATTTATATTTTTATATTTTTGTTAAATTTTGTAATTTTAATTTTAGCGACAAAGAAAGATCAATTTTATCAATTTTCCTCAATTAATAAAAATGTTGTGTATTTTTTTCTCAAATGTTTTTTTATCAATTTTCAATTGTTGATCAATTGTTTAAAAAAAAAATTAAATCAGGTACAAATTATGAATATGGAAATAGGCCTACGTAAGATTATATATATAAATGTTTTTAACAGTATAATAAAATTGTTTATATGTTATATATATATGAAAAAAAAGTTGTTTTATTTACAAACTATCATACATTCATCATTTTTCATTCATTCATTCATTATCATATAATTGATCGACAGGCCTATATATATTATTCATTAATAATATTTTATTATCAAATCGGATTTTCTGGCTGAAATATAAACTTTTTTCCTTCGGCTTTGTTTTTCGGGTATTTAATAAAATTAAAAAAAGTTATTTTTTTGCATTGGAGTATATTCAGTATAATTTAACTTATCCTTAAAAGAATATATTTATATCTATATTTATATTTATAATATGCATACATTTATTGAGTCACAATAATATTTTAATATTATTTTTATTTATATTTTATAATAGTACGGGTTCACTAGGCTCGAATGGAATGTTCTGATATATTTTATTTATTTTTATAATTAAATTTAATTTGTCTTACAGACTACAACAATTATAATAACATTAAGAATAATATTATAAGTTCAAGCTCAATAATTGATTAAGGTGAGATTTTTTTTAAATACATTTTTTGGGGTTTTATTAAATATTTAAGTCGGTTGGAAAGCAATTTTATATGAAGAAATTTTTACTGGTTTTTAATAATTATTAATAGA